ATTACTACGAATATGGATGTTTATTATTAAGAGGAAAGACAAATGAATCATTAACGAGATTTTTCTGAACTAGTCCGAGCATGTGCTTGTAAAAAGGCTTGTTTCACAAGAGAGAATTCATTTACATGTATCAACAGCATCTATTCCTGATTGTTTGAAGAAGCCTTATGATCTCAGATTACAGGAACTCTCTCACACAGCAGCTCACAGATGGGGCATTAGCAGCTAGCACCAGTTAGCGAGGGCATCATTCCTCCGAGCCGTCTATGAGCCTTCGATCAATGGACCTGGATTATCATCCTCAGCATCTCAGTTCATTTTTCACCGTGGAGTGCGGCTCCACCAGCTGCTCTGTCTCTGTCAGAGGATGTAGGCCCTGGTTCCCCCTCATCTGATAAGATTACAGAAACCAACCGCCACAGCTGTTGCGTTCAGGGGTGACCCGTATCCACGACATTCTCTTATTTTCTTACTCTGCGTTATCTGTGCATCGGTAAATGTTTATTTAATGGGTTGGCGAGCGAGTCAGTACAACAGAGACGGGGATCCTGCAACTACCCGTGTTTAATTAATGTTTGATTAAGACGCCGCCTTTTAATTAAAAAGTGGATTATTAATATTGGCAAATGAAGTAGATGGGATATAGCAGAGTACAATGCATGTATTATTAGAAGCGAGGTGTGATTTTGTATGAATCAACAACCACTAATGTGCATTAGCATTAGACGATATCCTGTAATTTGAAGAGATGAAATCGACTCTGATGAGATTTAAGAGAGGCTGAAATGTCTCTGCTGGTTTTGTCGACAGTCTCGTGCACTGTGCTGCCTGTAGCTCCGGGTGATGCTTTCATCCGAGACTCTGAAGTCTGAAACAACAATGTTGCTCTTGTATCCTCAAGGTCGCCCTACTTGTAACCACTCGCCACAAGGGCCCTCGTCACAAAACAGACACAAGGTCCTCTTGAATCCCTCCACTTTGTAGGCGTCTGCGCTGCGCCGAACATGCTCAGATGGTGACTGTGGGCCAGCTGGTGGCCGGTGGGCTTGTCTCCAGCTGTTTTCTTTTACTGCCTAAAACTGTGTGGTCGCCCTCAGCTATGCATTGATTTCAAGGGCACATTGGTCCACTGAAAGTTGCCTCTCAAAGAGTGAATGGTGTAAGCCCACAGTTGGTGTGATGTTCCTATAGGCATGGGAAGAGCAGCCTGTGTGAAAGAAGCCATTCATTTACAATCCACAGGATTAGAGCTCTGTCCATCAGCTGCCTCTGTCACTTACTGTATATCACCCTTCAGAGGCCTTCCCCTCTGTCTGCTGGCCTGAGATCCGACGCAGTTTCGAAGTGACAGCACAGATCTGATAAATCCTATTAGTCCGGTGCTGTGGCCAATTTGGACCAGTTCCTCTTCGACTCAAGAATGAAGCCCAGTTTTCCAATCGCTGTACGTAATTGCTTCGATCTTGCTCTCAGTGTTTAGGCGGTTTGAAATCCCCGTGATTTACCATGCGGCTTCAGATCATGTTGTAGCTTTGTGGTTCTGAGAATGAAGTCTGAACACAATGTCTGTCAAAGAACCTTCCTTTCCAGGCTTGAAGGATAATCCCTACAGCCCAGGTTTTGAATGTATAGTTGTGGTCATCAGTCCGGTCAGTCATAGTAGCACACTTTTTGATTTGCTCAAATCTAGATCATGGCAATAGGAGACTTTGAAAGGGCACTCAGAGAGAACATGAATTCACCAAATCTGGATTTTTATTTGTTTCTGCAGGAAATGACAAACTAACAAATCTCTGAAACCTGCCTGATTTGTTTTATTTTCATGGTTTACTTTTATGGTTTGTTTCCTGGCCTGTACCACATCCTTCCACCAAGTTTTGTGGTAATCTGTTCTGAAGTTTCGCGTAATCCTGCTGAATAACATGCAGATGAAAATAACCTCCTTCGCTGACGTAATTATAAAACTATTCCCATCTTTATTGTTTCCATTTTAGCCAAGGGTAGGTTTTCTCCGCGTAGTGAATCAGTGAAGTTCTTTATCCAACGTTTGCTCACAATTCAGACGTTACATCTTCTCAAAGCTCACTCATTCCCAAGCTCAATGCCAAGACAGACAGCTTTTCAGGCGACACGCCCCGACCATGACAGACATGGTGCATCTCAGCGTAAACAGCTTTTCTGGCAGCCCAGTCAGCAAGCCACAGTCCTCCTGTTATTGAGTCCCAGAGACACTCCACTCAACAAAACCACACAGTGACCTTTCAGCCTCATACAGCAGTGCCAGATATTGAGTGAGCCTGTCCAGAGGATGAAGCTCATCTCAGACTAAATCTCAGCCCGCTGTTTTCTCCCCCGTCCCCCGGGCTCCTGTGCCTCTACTGTTGTAGTGAAGTGTTGCTCTTTCTCTGGTTTTTTGTTTTGTAAAAACCAGAGGGGTCATTGAAAATCTTTTGAGTTCCTCTTCTCTTTTGTCTCTCGGGCAGGATTCTGGGTCTATTGGTTTACCTTAATGATGATAGACTTCTGATTATAGGGTCTAGTTTGTCTGACGAGCATTGATCTTAAACACTGACTGAATTGCTGTGTTTCTTCACATTGCAACTGATTGATCATGAAAAACTAGGAATTTTTTCAAATCTAATTATCTAATCCAGGTTTTGTGTGTTTGTTCCATTGTTTCCATCTGATCTGGTTAGTTTTGGTTTCACATTCTAATTTAGGGGGCGTGCTAGAGAATTTTGTATCACATATGTACGTCCTGTCATCAACAAAGTCAGTTTTAACGCCGCAAATGAACCAAAGAATGGTTCAGTTTGACCACGTCTTTTGGTGGGACAAAATTTTGGCCCGTTTCTTTCTTTCCAACTGGTATTTTGGTTCAGACAAAACAGAAACAATCTGAAGGTCCTGACCAAACAAGGTAGCTACAGTTTAAGATCCTCCTCTTTTCTTCCTCTTTCACAGATGTCCTCTTCCCTCACAGATATGAGCCTCCATCCTCAGCCTGGCATTGAGGCCTTGACCCACAGCCTCAGGGTCACACATGTTCCACGTATCGGGTCAGCTGTGTTCTGAGGAGGCCAAGTGGCTGTGTTACATATCACGGAGATTATCAGAATCACATATGACAGGTTCCTGGTCTCTAATGAGGCTGACTGGCTCTGGCTTTTCCATTGTGTGTGTCTGGAGTTGATAGCTGCTGGTGCTGCTGTGTTTTGAGGTTATAACATTATGAACTCACTGTCTGGCTGTTTATCGATGGATGAAATTAATTCACTCAGTTATTTTTGTAATTTTGCCTTTGATCGTCATTCTTTGATTTCATAAGAATCAATTGTTTTAGGTCTGTTTTTACTGTTATAACCCAGCAGATGGGAATTATTTTAATCGTACCCCTCAACAAATGTAAGTACGTTTTCCTGTAGGCTTAAAAAAAAAGAACCCTAGGGATTGTTCAGGCTGGAATCAGTTGCAGGTTTGACCTTTTTACGTTTTTGAGATAAGACAGTCCACAGGAATTTCCTGGCAAAGTGAGAAAGTTGAAAAGTCAACGTTCCCCCGCTGCTCCTTCTTTCACCAACCCTGACACTGCTATTCAAAATGTGTTAATAACTTCCCTCTATAGGAGGCCATATAATAATTAACACTAACCCGCCTTCTCATCTAAATGTGTATTTCTTTTGGGCCCACAAAGCAGAAACATCTCTGAGCTGCATAAGAAATATGCAAGTCAAATAAAACTTAATAAAACTAATAAATCTAAAAAAAACCAGATGGTTGACAGCGACGAAAACATTTGATGTATTTCGTGTGGTTAAAACTTTCTCTCTGGAAACCAAGTCATTTCCATTCCCATGTTCTGTTAAGTGTTAAGTTTCAATAAAACGTCAGTAAACAATAAATATTATATACGACTGAAGAGTTGGAATCAGTCAGAGAGATGATATTTATATTCATCTCTTCTAAGTCTTGTTTACATGCTGTAATGTCAGTGTTTCCCATAAATTATCAGATGGCCTGCCATATTCTGATGTTTCCCACCAGAGTTTCATAATAACATGAAACATCTCTAACTGGGTGTGTGTGCAGCGTTATTCTCCGTTGGTTTGCTCGACATAAGCTTTGACATAATCACACCGAGGTCCAAAACGTTTTTACCGTCCACGCGGACAGTCAGACATCAAAGTTTCAGCTGCAGTTGTTGCATTGATGCAGTTTCTCTTTCTCTTATGTGATAACTTATCTGTTGCGTGTGAGAGTGACGTCACAGATTGACCTGTTTCTGTGGGAAACACTGTGAATCCTCTTTTCACAACAGGAACATTATTCAATAATCAGGAATGACAAACATGAAGTAAAGTTGAAATACTAAACAGGAGCCTATTAAGTAAAGTTCTTTCTTCAGTGATGTAGTAATAATAATACCAGTCATACAACTTAGTTTTACAGCTCAGATATCCAAAGTGTATGTCTATCACTCAGACTGCACAACATCTGCAGTCACAGTTGTCGAATAAGCAGCTACATCAGATTTGTTCAGTGCTACATGAGAAAGTTGCACTGAAACCACTGTTGTTTGATGTGAGCACCGCGGGGCTGCAACAGACAATAGCACTGCGGTGGTTAAATGATACGGGGCCGGCAGGAGGAGGAGGGTGGGGTTGTGGTGCTGCTCACCGTTCACCGCTCGTCTTTGTTCATTGTTGTGAATAATACATCAGAGGCGCATTAGTTTGATTCATATTGCTGTTGGCTTCGCTGTGAGCCCACTCTCCGCTCTGCCCTCACTTATCACAGTTTTACCTTTTATCTGGGTTGAACGTATCTGGGTTGCTCTGCCGCTGCATTTGATCAATTCATGGACAAAGCCCGTTGGTCTTTAAAGAACTTGGTCCTGCGGGCCATTTCCACCCGCGCTGATGGAACCAGGTCATTTGATCACAATGGACCACTCACACTCATCTGCCCCCCCCCCTCCCTCCTCTCTTTTGTCTCCGCAGTAGCCGGCTAGCCCCCAGCAACCACGACCGGATACAGAGGCTGAGGCAGGAGTTCCAGCAGGCCCAGGGCGTCCCGGACGACCCCGACGACCGCAGGAGGACCTACAGCTTCGAGCAGCAGTGGGTGAGTGTCTGAAATGATTGGAGCCTCAAATCCGCTGCTGGCCGGAGAGGAGGGCCTGTAAACTCTTAATGTCCAGAGACGACCTGGTCTGCAGACTTGACTTCAAACACTAGCCCGAGGACAACCTGGAGAATGGTGCTAACCGTCACTAACCCCACTACTAGCAACCATGAACAAGACTGATGATAACATCGACCCTGTCCTCTCATTAGGACGACCATTAATGCTACCGCTAACACCCCCCCCCCACTCAAATGTTCATCCACCTGCATGCAGGAGTTTCTGCACGTCCTGATTCAACCGTCACTAACCCCACCCACCTGTCACCACCCACTGTACTCATCCACCACCCCCTTTATGTGTGTGTCCGTCATCCTCATGGACCCGCCCACCATCACATGGACTCTTGTCTTCACGTCGTTTCTCTCTCTTTTTTTAAATCCTGTGTTTTAACGGTGCCTTTTTTAACAGTTTAAATGTCGGAATATTTACATTTTACCAGACATTTATTTTATTCAGAGCTTCAGTGGATGAGATCAGGGTTAATTAACGTCCTGAAGCAGAGTGGGGAAATAATAAGCGAACAAAATCTGAATGCCTTCAACGTTTTTTTAAGGTGATGAAATCGCTTGTGATCTTTTTAGTATTTATTTTAGTCCCAGCTTCATTGCACTGCACCTCAAGTGTACTTGGTTTTACATCTTTTTGAGAAACAAATTAAATGAACCTGTAGAAATGTTTAAATCTTGACTATGACGTTTTACGACTTTTTACCATCTCTGTATAATGTGTTAATTATTTTATTGTGTAACACAAAAGGATGAATCACCACCATATCCCTGTGTCTGCTTTGAGACAACACACATTTCTGTTTATTTCACACATGTTCTATCACAAGGTTTTATAACACAAACACATTATGACACACTACATATTACCATGCTGTGGTGATACACAGCGTGAATGTGTGTTGTTGCAAACTAGACATTCGGGTGTGTTTTAAATTACATTCTTTATATCGAACAACATGAATCATTTCTGCTCAAGGTCGTTTTACACACACTTGTGTTTTTTGTATATTTCTGTATGAACTCTTGTTACTGCTGGTGTCTGCACCATCATTCCCCACTGTAGCTTTGCCCAGTGTGCATCGGAAGAATTAGTTCCTGTGATAAAGTGAGAGCCAGCGAACCAAATCCTCTTGTGCTCTGGCCTTTTCCTTTTTCTAGCTGATGAACTCAATAAAAATGCATAGATTTGTTTTGAATCTGATTTGGCAGCATTCACCAGAGTCGCGTGTTTTAATGGGATCGACGCACTGGCGCACATTCCAGGCAGCATTGTAGAGCTAAAAGCGGGACAGTGTGGGAAAGAAGAGTTCAGGTCACGTCCCCCTTTGTCTCCAAACTACCGAGCGTGTTCTCGGTTCAAGAGCTCGACAATACTGCAGCATTATGTTTGTTTACATCAACCGTAGCATGTTTGCTATTGTTGCCAGTTTTATTTTCCCATGAAAACTCAGTATTAGATAATATACGCGTTTAAAATTCTTCCGGCTTCCTCGTGGGAGCCTTTCAACATTTGTTACCTGATAAATAGAAACGCGCAAATATTTACTAGACCCTTTTTTAATAGTCAGGATCCGGGAAGATTAATATTAATTAAAGAAAAATCTAATGTTATGAAGTAATACTTTTTCCTTCCCATGTTTTTAGTTGATCTTGTTTTCCTGGTTTTTCCAAGAACACTCTAAAGCTTCATCCACAGGCGCGTTAGCATGGACAGGGATATTACTGTTGTGGAGCTACAACGCTAGTGTGGACTTCATTTAAAAAACTAAATTGTATTTTAAGGATGTCACCTATGTCTGAAGAACCCTCTCGTTAAATCTGCTGTTCTTTTTAATAGAACACTTGTAATGGGACGATATGAGACTCGTGCCCTGCCCACACCGGTCACCCTTATGGAAAACAGGAGGATTTGTCTTTGAAATTAAATTACCTCCTTTTTGCATATATTACATTTTGTTGCTTCATCTGAGTGATGTGCTGCAAACCTCAAGGAGCCAGTGTCCTTTCTCTTAATTCACCTACAACTGCTCCACTTCCAGCCTCTGCCAGCACAGCGCTACGAACAGCTGATATTCATATGTCGCTATTTACATGGCAGGAAAACGCTTCAATCAAACAGACTTTAACGTGTCCGTCCTAATTGAACTTGCTGGGAAATCATATGTTAATCGCTTCAGCTCTATTTGAGACTTGGACCGTCGGCCTCAGGCTCACCTCCTCATCTCACACCCCAACTGCAGCATAGTTGAATTTGTCACAAGTTCATTCCATCCCACAATTTCCGCCCTCTCTCGATTCATTTGTCCAATTACCCAGCTTCAGCTCGGACTGTTTTCTTATAGCCGTCCCCTGTTAAGCCGCATGCGTAAAGTCAATATCTCCTCTTAGCGATGGGGGCCCTCTTGTTCTTTTTTTTTTACCATAGTTTGGGGAGCAGCGGAGGATTGTGGGTAGCGCGGTCTAATTCCATCAGGATGACTGATGTGTGCTCGCCCAGCCGCTCCGCGCCAAGCTTTATTGCTCTCATTTATACCACTGTGGGAAAAGAGGAGTTCATTCAATTGATGTTGGGGCATAATATTGCCTCTTGTATTTTACTCCAACATTTTAATGCTACTATTATCTGGATTCCTTCAGGGGGTTTCCTCCTCCTCTACCGTCCCCGTGTTCAGGCAGATGAGCCGACATTCCCAGGAAAACTCTCCAGTGAAAAATATTAGGACTGTAATAAACCCGTGAGCAATTTTCAAATACGATATGAAATAAGCACCCCCCCCCCACCACCACCTCTATCGGTGTCCCACCAGCCTGTCCTCGTGGACAGCCGAGCTGCCAGGCAACGCCAATCAATCCCAGACGATTGCCTCGACTTCATTTGGTTTAAAGGGGAGTTTCTCTTCAGCACTCTTAATCGTTTTATGACCTCCCCGCCAACTGATGTCCACAGCGCTCCCACCAGACTCTCAATACGTTGCAGGGCCATAAACGTAATTAGTTTGGCTTTGTGTTACAACTGATCCGCACGCAGTTATTGCACCCACACCACTAATGAACATCGGGGGAGCGGAAGGAGTTGTGGTGTGGGCCAGACTTCGAGGTGGTGCTCCGCTGCTGAGAAACATTAGTCTAAACTGTGTGTGCGTCGATCATCTCTGTTTTTGTAACGACCAGATTTTAAAGGTCACCACACGGTTTAAAAAAGAGACAAACCAAGATTCCCCCATCCCTGAATTAACCAATCGTCTGCTGGGCAATAATGCTCCTGCATCTTCAACATTTGTAGTATGCCAATGGTGAGGCTCTCCTGTAAGATTCAGCAGAAACAGGAAACAACTCCGCTGGAGCAGGGGTTTCTTTTCTTGGAGAGACAATGCGGTGGAACTGTCACTGATCGTAAATGTTAACGCTTTGCATCCACCGCTGGTAGTCGAGTCGTGAGTGATGAGACCCAATCAGGAAGTGGCATGGGCCTGTCACTGGTCGTCAGAGCGAGTTGTCGTCGTCTCCTTCATTAACATCCACTAACATCCATCATGTCTCATCACTGTAACCCTGCTCTGAGTCTCCAGCATGGCCCCTCCCTCACTGTCCCCTCCCTCTGTCTGTGTGTGACTCACCTTCACTCTGACCTGAGAGGACACGAGCTCCGGGTCGAGCGCCCGACTGACGGCTGGTAAGTGTTTGAGGTTTGGACCCTGGGGGGGGGAGGGGAGACTTTGGGAGGTATCAGGTGACCGGTGCTGGTTTTTATTTGAGCTACTGTCTAAATCTGTGATGTCACCGGCTCCACAATGAACTGAAGCAGTGATGAAACTTTTTTTTTAATATATATATTCCAGTTAGAATATTTGAGCTTGATTAAACTTGACACTTAGGGTTGGAGTATGTGTTGCTGCTTTTTAACAGTTTAACTTAATATTTTTCTACAACTTGTAACTGAATTAGACAAACACATATTTTTATAGCAGAGTTCCTAAAACACTACAGGATCAAAATAATCACCATAACTGGCTGCTGGGAAAAAGAAAATGATTTTATTTGCACTCAAATCTTTATTTTTTATCATGAGTGTGTTTCAGCTGTTATTTAGGGTTTGTTTGATGGAATGTGGTTTTCAAATTATTATTATTAATGTTACACAGTGCAGGATTTATTATATATTGAATGTTCTGGAGGATTAATTACATATAAGTGATGGAGGTTTAATTAACACAAGATTTCAAATGTCGGAGTGTTGGCACCTGTAGAACCTCCCATTCAGGCATTTATCCTGCATTAGCGCTGCAGGCACTTCAGCGTCATGAATGTTTAACCGAACACAGAAGAGTCATCAGTATTTATTTAACTCTGCGAGTGTGGAGGTCCCTGCAGCCCCAGATCCACATCAGCTGCACAAGAGAGCAGCTCAGAGTAACGGTCACCAGGACGTTTCTTGTGCCGCAGCTTCAGAACATTTTGTTCCTCCTGTGGCCGAGATACGGCTTTTAAAGGGCCGGTTCAACCATCTGACCCAAAAAAACACATTTTCCACTCGTCTCCAGTGAAATGTGGCCACGCAGGCAGATAAGAGACGTGGTACATTTCTGCAGCTGCTCCAGAAGAATGGCAATGAAAACCATGCACAGTTAATACTGTGGAATATCCTTCCGGCCCTTTGATAATGGATTTACACGGCGTTTTCAACAGATTGACGCACTAAAAGATTCAAGGAGACATACGTTTTTCATTCCTATTGTTATTGTTTTTGGTTTTTTTTAAATCCACATATTTGCATAATGCTTGTGTAGCTAACCTGACTCGAGCTGCGTTCAGACAAATCACACCGCTGTGATAATAGACTCTGAATAAAGATGGGCAACATGACGCCTTCCAGATGTGCCAAAGCGTCTCAATTGCTTCCTCCATGTTAGCAGATGGGGCATGGACCAAAATAAAAAGTGAAGGTAGAAGCTAGGTGCTGCAGCAATGACCAGTCCGAGGAAAGTGATGTGTTTTCTGAACTTTAGAGCACATATGTAATCAGCCAAATCAAAATTATGAATATTTATACTTTTCCTCGATCAAGAAAGTTCCTCATTACTTGTGACACATTTGCGATAAAATAAAACCCTGCATATCGATTCAGTCGTATTGAATCCAGCAAACAGCATATCTGTGCACCATGTGCACGTTTACACTGATTTTATTGGACAGCGTTTCGGTCCCATGTGGATCATCATCAAATTACAGATGGCAGACGAATACATAAATGAATGTGTAGCAGAATTCCCTTATTGATTGTGGCCATGCTGATGATGATGATGATGATGATGATGATGATGATGATGCTCACACTGGGAACGACGAATAACCCAGACGCCATCTTGCTGCTTCCAGTCGAACGCCAGCAGCAACGGCCCGGGCGGGTACAGCAGTCAGCCGGGTCGCCACTCGGTGTCGGTCGAGGTTCAGATGCAGCGACAGAGGCAGGAAGAGAGAGACTCGTTCGCCCAGGCACAGCGACAGTACAGCTCACTCCCAAGGTAAGAGGGATGAACTGTGTGTGCGTGTGTGCGTGCGCGTGTGCGTGTGTGTGTGTGTGTGTACACACTCATTTACTTCTGTCTGATTATGTCAGATTCATTGTTATGGCCTTGTGACAGTAATGATGGCAGATTGTAAATGTGCAACATCTAAGTAAGAAAAAGGGGCAGAGGTGTGTGTTACTTCCAGACCACACACACACACACACAGCCTCAGAATGGACGGATTATGTTTCCCACTCCCACAGATGTGACATGATTGCTTTCCTCTCTCTTAATGTAATTCCCTTTGATCTGCATGATATGACTGCCTGTTGTTCCAGGAAGTGCTGGGACACGTGTGTGTGTGTGTGTGTGTGTAATCGGGACATTTCTTTCCTGATAAGAATTCTATTTGTGACAGTTGTGAGAGTGTTGGTTACAGAAAAGTTCATATTTGACCTTTAGAGTGAACATTTCAAAAGAGAAACAACCTTTATGTTGAAAATCGATAGAAAGACAAAGTTACAACTTGTGTTGTTGTGAAATAAATGGTCACTGATACGAGAGGTAAATAAACTGTTTTTATAAAGAGCTTTTCTGGTTTTATTGACCTTTCAAAGTCCATTCACACATAAGGTCAGTACAATTTGGAGTTCAGTATCTTGCCTAAGAACATAAGGAGCTGGGGATCGAACCACCGACCTTTTACCTAGTGGACAACCTGCTCTACTTACTAAACCACAGCTGCCGCCCCCAAAAAATAAAAAAATAAAAAAAATTCTTTATCATTATAGTAATGCAGAGTATTTATCAACTATTAAAACTTCTATGAAGACATTATTTTGATATTATAACTGTGTTTTACTCAGTTATCCTTCATATCGGTTCCACAGCAGCTTCCACTTGGATACCTGACAGAAGTCAAGAAATACATTTATAAATAATATGCATTAGCTTGCAATTTTTATCATCATACATGTATTTAATATGTTTATCTTTCTATAACTGGTACGAACGCTTTTACAGGCGTCATTTTTTATTCTTGATTCATTGTCTGAGAAAAAACATTATTCCAAGTCATTAATTTCAACCTCAAGACTCTAATTACTCTTCAAACTCTGTACAAGGCCAAACCAAGCTGACCCGTCAGTGCTCATCATCAGCTCCCACTCACCATACATATACAGCATTAAATACATTATCGTCTATTACTTCACCGTCGCACTCTAATCCACTGTTACCGACATAAATCCCTTCCTTGATAAATATTGCAGGCAGCTCTGCTGAAAGATTAATGAAGCGCCGTCTCACTCCAGCGGTCAGAGGCAACATCCTGTGGCCACGTCGCTGCACTCCTCCACTAATTCCATTAAGAAACTGTTCTGTTTGGATAAACCCGGCTGCAGTGTCTTGAGAACACTAACTATTGTTTGACTTAGAGCATGCCATCGCATGAGGTCAGAGGCTTGATGGGACTCATGTGGGCCTGCGCTGTTCGAAGAGGCTGAAATTATTGGATTCCGAACGGTGACGTGATTAATGGCGGAAGCATTCCTTAAGAAACAGCTTTCATTTTAGATAAAGGTCAGTTTTCTTCCCAACACAAGGAGCAGTGAGTGAAAATCAACCGCTGCCGTCTGCAACAATGACGGCGGATGAAGGCCTCGTACTCAACACTGTCCAGCACCATTGATCTCCAAGCCAAAGTTACGCCATCATAGGAGACCGAAGGCTGCCTGCAACAGCTGCAGCCGCATTTGGTCTCACTGGTGTGTCTGTGTGCATGTGTGTCACAACCCTGTGTCGATCTGCTCTGCACGACAACGTCTTCCTTTTTCCTTACAATCTTTTTCTGTCACCTTTCCCCCCCCCCCCCCNCTGTCACGCTTCACCATGTGCATGCACAGAATACAGAAGAGTATACATGCTTCTGTATTTACCACACATGTACATGCTCCCCCTCGGCTCAGCGTCAGACAGACACGGCGATCTGGTTTGCATTTCTCAGCAGGGAGGCAGAGCAGCATTGGCCTCTTTGTCAACATATGAAATGAAATCAGATGCCGGCGACGCCTGTCTCAGAAAATTGGAATCACTCAACCGTGCGCAAGAATAAACCTGGGCTATATTCTCCTATCTCACCAATCGAGGAGCGTATCCATTCCCAATAGCTTTCAATCTCGGCTGAATGAAAACAAAGGTCTTTCTATTGTCATTAGGGATTTTTTCTCTCCTTCCAACTCAAAGCCAAACACAGGAATAATACGATTTCTTCACAGCTGGCTGATAAACCTGCTAATTATGCATGGCTCCCAGTCAAAAGCCCATTGATGTTTTTCCTGTGTCGTCTTCTTCTCCGTCTCTGCTCTCGTTTTTTGCCTCGAGATAAACGGGTGGAGCTGTTGGGACACTCATGCATATCATATGGGCTCACACACAAAGGCAGGGCTGCCACACAGAGGCCAACCAAGCAGAAATGAGAGGTGATGTCACACATCTGGACGCCCCCCCCCCCCTCCACCTCCTCGTCTTTCTGGTAAAGGGCAGGACAGACCCGCAGAAGCATGACAGCCAACTGTCCCTTTAAGACACTTGTGTCGGGTGTCAAATATCAGCCTGGGCAAATCCATCGAGGACATCTCTTTTTTTTTCTTTTTTTTTTACAACAGCGAAAGGTCTGCTATTACTTTCTGTCAGATCCACTGGTTGTTGCTGCCTGTCTCCAAATGGGCCTAATGGGCTGGAAGGGGACTTTGACATGGTTAGATATCCGCTGTATGTTGTTACTCTGGCCTGGTACGTAGCCAGGGGCAGTTTGCGAGCGTGTAATGGTTGTTACCACGCAACAGTCGCTATGATAATTTTCGGGCAAAATAAATCCACATGTTCGTCCATTTCCCGAGAGGGAACGATTTTTCAAGACAATGTTTTGTTGCTGGTGATGATTTCAGGTCACAGTTTACGAGTGTGTCTGAGAAACAAAGAATGAGAGAGAACAGTAGATGTGATTATTTAAACTTGAAGAATCAACTTTTTCTTCAGTTTGAGTCATAATTTATTCTTTAGGAGCGAAGTGGAAGAATAAAACACACCCTTCTGCTGAATGTTTGTCTAATGCTGAGTTTACATCACATGACTTTATCCCAAAAGCCCCAGATCGACTAGTTGGTCTATCACAAGCAAGTCATGTAGTGTGAACTACACAGTGACTTTGAAAGTTGAGTAGTCTGAACTTGGCATAAGGTATCCCCCCCAAAAAAATGACTGAAACATGTGACCAGAGCCTGATCAATTTATCAGCTGCTCAATAATATCGACCCATATGAGCCTTTCACAGATATATTGGTATCTATGTTTACGTTTTAACATTTCACACTATTTCTCTTTGTTTCAGGCAACCCAGGAAAAACCCCAGCTCCATCTCGCAGGACTCGTGGGATAAGGCGTACCCACCTGGAGAGGGCTTCCAGTCAGCCAAGGACAACCCCAGGTACTCCAGCTACCAGGGCTCCAGGAACGGGTACCCAAGCGGCGTCGGTGTCAACGCCAGAGTCCTTCTGGAGGCCCAGGAGCTCCTGAGGCAGGAGCAACGTCGCAGAGAGCAGGAAGCCAAAGGGAAATTAATGCAGGAGAACACCGGTACCAGCGGCTACGACGGATACCCCACAGCTCACCTGAAGGAGCCAGCCTCCCCTAAAGGCCCCTACCGCCATGATGTGCCACCTTCACCTTCACAGTTAGCGAGGCTTAATAGATTGGGGTCAGAGAAAGGACGACTTTTTTATTCATGAGGAGTCTTGTTGGACTAATGGACAAAGAGCTGAGCGGAGAACTTTTTGGCTCAGGAGCTAAAGGGGAATTACCTTGAAGAACCTGCAAACGTGGACGCTTCAAATCCTGACAAAGGACAAACTAGAGCTCTCAGCTTAGCGATGATCTTAGAGGTAAACGGCTGTGAAGCGTGCGCAGTTTCTGGGTGTTTGTGTTCAATCCCTTGCTGTGCCGATGACCTATAACCAGTAGCCACTCACCCGACAGACTCGAGACGCCCAGTGCCTTCTCCGCATTGACAGGCACGATGCTTGTTCACAGTCGTCCAGGACTAATCGAGATCTGGAACCGTCACGTACTGACAATCAAACGGGCAGGAGGGCAAGTGAAAGGTCGTTCTTCTGAGCCTGCGAGGAGGCATACGTCTCTGCATGTGATAAGGTACATGTGTCACGATAACTGCGGGTTTCATGGGTTTTTTTTTTTACAGAGTGTCCTGTGGATGACTCTTCCCCTCTGGTCACAAATCACCCTTTGTTCACTTTGTTCAAAATTCAGCTCCTGCCAACGCTGCCGGTTTTCGCTCCGTTCCAGCGTTTTCTCCTCAGCGATCGGCCTCGCTCACATGAGTCTCCCAGGGGAGCAGAGGAAACAAGCCACAGTGTATGAAAGAAGCAGGGCACATTGTGTGTGTTATTAATAAAAACGCCCCCCTCCTCATAAATGATTCATATCGCGTTATCTCCGTGAGGGCGACCCAAGCAGAGAGGGTAGCCAGCTCTGATCCTCTGCCTGGCCTCCCTGCTCTGCTCTGGGCTTGACACACTGGCCTGCCTGCCTGTCTGGAGCTCCGGCTCCTGTCCTCCTCCTTGTTGTTCTCGTTGCTCATTATGCTCCTTTCTTCTACCTTTCTGCTCTCCCCTCCCCGCTCTTCTCCATTCTTCTTCTCATCTCACTGCTTCCCTTCCCCTTACTCTTCCTCCTGCTACCCTGTACCACCCTCCTCCTCCTCCTCTTCATCCTTGTCTCCCGAGTCAGACTCTGCACTGAATTTTTCATCACAAGCCACCTGCTGCCTGCCAGAGCCAAAGAACGCTGCCACCAGAGGCACCGACAGAGGGCTCGGCTTCTGACATGAAGCGAGGAACAAAAAGCATTACAAAAAAAAAGAGCCAGAATAAAGATGGGTAGAGAGACAATGACCTTCCCAGTGTGAGATTAGTGGGACCTTTTCTCCTGTTTTTAACAAAAGGCAAAATTGTCCTCAGGATTTAATTGCTTTCGATTGCTGTAATTGCTTTCTCTATTTTTTTTTCTTTTTTACCTTTTAAAGCATTTAGCCGACACTCTTCTCCACAGCGATTTGAAAAGAGGCAGCGGCAGGTAGCGGTGCTATCTGACTTAAAAAAACACGGCAGTTAATGGATGAACTGAGCGCTGCTGGCTTTTACAGAGCCGGCCGAACGAAAATTCAATAAAGCAGAATTTCTGTCTTACGTGCCTCTCGTAGTACATGCAGATGGTTGTGGATTTTATTTGTCCAGGTTCTGAGATGTCTCGGGAGTTTTCTGATGTTCCTCCTGATACAGTGGAGGCGGATGGAGTTTTGTTTTTCTTTGCCCACAGCAAAGAAAAGTCAAACAGAAATATTTTTACTGAAACGTTGTGTTTTCCAAAGACAAAGTTTGAATGTGTGCACTAGTCACGATCAGTCGGCAGGCTTGTCCATAAGCTGGGTCGAAATTCAGGGGCCGCATCTGAAGACCAGTTGTGTCACTAACTAGACGGCCCCAATTTGTCCTTCCATCCCTGAGAAACGAAGACTCCAAACAGTCGCTATCAAGACAATGCTTTCATACTTTATTCAAAGTATGGACGTCTATCTTAAAGCCATCGACCAACAGAGGACAGTTATATACAAGCAGATGGTATAATGCATCTAATGAGTTATAATTATTGTGGAGTCAAAAATCTCAAAACCTGAACGAATAAAACCAAAATTGTGATTAAACGTCACCGGTGGGAAAATGAAGATTGAAGTTTTATGAATCGTGTAATAATGACGATAATAATGAGTCATTATGACCTGAGAGTTTTCATTCCAGTCAAACTCCATAGCTGCTGATTGGCTTTTTCTCCACCCAGAGAGAAGGAACTAATCAGTGAAAGCAGCTGCTGTAGTTGAAGGTTGGAAATCAAGTCGATCACAGTCGCAGCGCCACCACCAGTTCACCTCTGTGACTGCTGCAGTCGGTGGGATCTGATCCTCTCTTTCTGAGCCTCCCTGTTCTTCTTCGACACCACTGATGTTTGAATGTTTCCCCCTGCCAGTGAACACGTGAGACCGAGCTGAGGTCGGACAAAAAGGGAAATGCAAAAAAAAATACAAATAATAAAATATATGGCCGTCATCAAGCCGTGGAAAACAAACAGGCGGTGCATAATTGCCCTTCACTCCTACACACTCACCATTTGTAGAGCGATGCTGCATGAGATGCATTATCTTCTGCTGGTTAATGAAGATCCTCACTGGGAGAGACGCAGTGTGGGGGAATGAACGATGAATGAAAAGGTATAAGATGAAGAAGAAATGACTTTTAAATGGATTATTTCATTGTATAAACCTGCTCACAAGGCTCCTCTGCTTTAAGCTAATTAAAAACTCCTGTCTGCATTATGTATGTACATGGATGAAACAACACAAACACACAGGGCCCCTCCACAGTGTGTGTTTGTGTGTTCATGCTACAATGAGCTGACTAACCAAACACAACACAACCTGTGGAGGTGAGGCACAAAACAAATCCTCCATGTTAAGTTCCCTCAACGTATTAGAGCCAGGATTTTCAAAAGACAGGATGAATTGTGGGTTTTTCTTTTGCCTTTCAAGAATAAAGTGGAAACTGTAAATAAAGATGGACGACATGACAGCTCCCTCACAAGTGAAGCCAAAACATCCTGCTCTCCCCCTGGTGGCTGATTGCAGTATAGGTCATCAACCTCCTGCCTCCTCCATGTTAGCAGATGGGACCAGGATCAAACAGAAAAATAAATGAATGAGAAAATAAGTGCGGGTTTCCGATAAGTTTGGATTCGATTGGTTATTTCACATTTTGACTTTTCTCTCCACGTTTATTCTCGAAATGCAAAATGGAAAAAAAATCCTTTCTCAGTTTTTTCCCCTCCCATGTTTTGGTTGAAAGTGTTTAGCCGAGCGGCTGACGCTTCCTGCTGCGAACACTCGTGCGTCTCAAAGTGCAGACTCATACATTTGAAGGATGTTTTTGACGCTTGTTTTAAATGTCATGGATTTTTTTTTTTTTTTTTTGCTGTTCATCTGACCCAGTTATGGGGTCTAATAGCAACAAGTGCCTGAGATAATATTTTACACAAAGAGGGACACGATGTGATTTGTTCAGTGACACTACAGCACACAGACAAGTGTTTTTTTTTAACTGTTTTAATATCGTATAAAAATGTGTCGTTTTGGGGGTACTTCCTTTTTTAAATTTTATTTTATTCACAAGAGCCAACACTTACAAGCTGATATCAGTGTATTTGTATCCTGTTTGAAATTGCCTTCAACCATGTTGCGTTTTAAAGTATAAAAAAAGAAATGGAAGCTGATGTGCAATTGTTCTGTTTCCAGAAAACTTTTACATGATATATTAAGAAATGTACACAGCCACTTTTCCTGTACATATCAAATTTAGAATAAAACGGAAGGCTGTTCCATCCTGTTTACAACCTGCCTCTGCTTGTGCTACCTTTTCTGTCCTCTTTGAACCGGGATCACAGGAGTCTTCGATTAAGCAGGAAGGGTTTCTGTTGTCAGACGTCAAATCTGTCACGTCTGCTCGCTCACGTCTTGTTCCGAGCCTGGCAGAGAATCTGACGGATGCTAAAGACACAGCTCAACGATGTGAAATGTCATTAAGTCGAAGCAGCTGATGCAKAAAAAAAAAAAAAAAAGGTGAAGTGGAAGTAACATTTGGCTTCTGTGTAAACGATCCGTTGAATGCTGGGATGTAATCTCCCTACACACCTCTGTGTTTCCTGTTATTAAGTCCAGCCTCACTCCCATTGTCCCACACAGGGGACCTGTTGAGCTACTGTTTTTGTTCTGAGGGTCAAAGGGGACATCCTAACCAAATACCATTAATGCTACTTGAGCCAGGCGGCTGGATGTGCTGGGAGAGACGGAGAGAACAGAGGAAAGAGACGTGGAAGCAGAGAAATCCCTTCACCTCATCCTGCGCTTTTATCCTTCGTGGCAGTGTGTTCCTTTTATAACAGACTCCATGGTGTGAGATTCAGAGTGAGAAGAACATGCAGGGAATCGTCATCACGACAGATTCAGACCAGAGGATGTAGGGCTGTCGTTATTATTCCTAATTTGACCGTTAATTCAAACACTGGAGGAAAAGGTTATATTTGAACTGTAATGTATTGTTCAAATTCGAGAATTAAATTCTAGAAGCTCACTGTCTGAAGGAGTTTGTCCCGAGCGGACGATCACGACACCAAATCATCTGAGTAGCAGCCTGTGGAGGTGTTTTACGTTCTAGATGGCGAATGGAAAAGTAACAAACAAAGTAAATCTACGGATTCATCTGTTAGCAGCAGTGATAGAAGTACGCAAGTGGGAGGAGCAATGTCAAGTGTCCAGCCTCCACTGACTGCGTGGCCGCTGTTAGTAGCTTTACGCAAAAACCGACTTCATGGATTGAAGCACGAAACTTGGTCGAAGGATGTAACGAAGGCCAAAGCTAAATGGTTGGGAATCATTCATTGATTTTGATAGAAAAAATGTTATTTATGAGAATATGGTGCAGTTTGATTAAATGCGAGGCGACTGTTTTGACTTGTGGAGGTACGTGTTCTACCGACTGACTAGTTTTGGTTGATTTTTCAAAGATCCACAGTTTTTGAACCCAAAAGTCCATTTTTCATTCGGTGATCGAGTTCTTTAAGTCGACTCTTGCGTCAGCAGCTCAATCACAATCATAAGATTTGTGTCCAAATTCCATGAAATTTCCAGTTTACTGTGCAGTGTTGTGAAACCTCTGAGGTCATGCCACGTATCGAAAGATTTATGTATTTGTTCCTGCTGCGTGTTATCAATGGCCAGATTTTATTCTCTTGTTCGGTTTAATGAACCATGAAATAATCAGTGCGTAACATGCTTTTGGCAAAATGTCCAGAATGAGCACAGAGAAGTCCCATTAATTATGGAGCTGTTTCTCTTGGAGCTGTTGCTGTGAACAGCACAACCTCAGTCCTGTTCTGTTTCACTGGAGTCATTAATGTCCCAGTGTTGCTGAGAGGCTTACAGATTATAAAGAAAACTTCTGATGTCTTCCCAACAACAACCATCCAACAGGTGATTCCTTTTTACCTTCGTCTGGTCCGGTTCTTTGCCAGAAGCTGCTCGAGAGATTTAAAAAAAAAAACCCTCCATGAAAGAAGGTGGTGGCAGCTCTCCAGTGGAAGAATTACCAGCAATTTAATCACGTCTTTATTGAAGGTAAACATCAGGCTAATGTGTGTCGGCATAAAAGGTTTATTTAAGATACTTGGCCAAGTTTTTATAAAATCTGTGGAAAATTATAAATAATCCCTAAGAGTGTAGGTGCATTTAAAAAAAATCCTGAAAACAACTTAATAAAAGCAGTTTTATCCTGAAAAAAACATGTGTGTATACAGTCCAAGGTGGCAAAGTTTTTTTTCGAACATTTGCATTTAAATGACGCATTAGTAATTAAGTTTAAAAAAAAACTAGCTGCTTCATTATTATATTTAACCTCTTATTCAGTTTTTAATGGTAAAATAATAATTGAATCTCTGAACGTAAATGCTGCCTCTCAAATGTCATCACACAATTCATTTGCTTCTGTAGCTTGATTACTTTCATTTCAAGATGGTGCTGAAACTGAATGAAGTCCGACCCGCAAAGCAGCAGCAGGAGCCGTGATTGGCCAGATGTTACACCAGTGAGATCGGGCCAATCAGAATAAAATGATAATCTTTGCTATTGTCTTCTTTTTTTAATGCATTAATTAAATGCAAATGTAATTTATCTTGAGGCTGTTCGGAAAATAACAGGTTTTTTTTTTTTATTTCATCAGCCTCTGTGCACACACACACACGCACACACACACACTCACACTCACACACACGCACACACACACACACACGCGACCAGTCGAACTTCAGGATTAGTTGAATCTTAACTGACAGAACATCACAGTCACCACAGAATGGAAAGTAAAGCCAATGAGCAAGTGGCTGTGTATTCTCCTGAATGGACTGCAGGGGGCGACTCCACTGGCTGCAAAAAGATTTATACCGAAAATGGAGAGTGATTGACAGCAAGTACGTTGACCTGGTCTGGGTTGGCGTCATACGTTGCTGAACTGCATTGTGGTTCCGTTGTGTCGGTGGAAGTTGAGCAGAGGTTCAACCTTACGTGGGGCTATGAAGACACCACCCGATCAAATCACGTTCAAATAAATACCCACTGTCAAACGTCAGTCAGGCTCCACCCCCTGCCCCTCCACATATGGTAACTTCTGGTTTCAAAAGAACAAGATGGTGCCGGACACAGTGTCGAACTGGAAGCTTCCAAACAGCAGCTCCCAGACCAGCGGGTGACGTCACAGTGGGTTCAAACACACATGCAGCAAGTCAACTTCACCTCCTGTGTTTTTCCTTCTTCTCCTCTGGCGGCGGTGCAACGTGTTCATGTGCTTCACATCAGCCCCCGAGCAATGTCACGGATCATTTCCACCGCGGCCTCTCTGTCAACAGACAGAACGAGGGGCTGCTAAACCTTTTATTTTACAGTCGCCGCCGCCGCCGTGTGAGCACCGTGTCGCCATTAACGAAGCCTATTATTTAGTTAAATGTCACGCTCACCTCGAGGAGAGGGGAACCGTTGAGCTCGCTGGGAGGTCGGATAAGGTCCTATTCAGAGGTGACACCTGTTTCTGCCACCCCCCCTTTTTGAGGAAGCAAGAGTTCACAGATGACAGCATCCCTCTGGAATTTGGGGAGGAAGCTGGAGAGGCTGCAGAAGACACGGGACCGTAAATCAATACGGCAGACAAAGAAAATTAACTGAGGAAGTTCTCAAGATATAACCTCCTTCACATTTGTCAAACATCTGGAGTTACTATTTCACGATAGTGTCATGATGTTTCAAAAAAACTGACTCACACAACAATGTCGTGTCTATGGGATAAATATCAGGACATATTCTGAAATGGAAATTTATTTTTACAAGGTTTAAACTTGCTTTGCCTCCAGATTTGCACTTTCAAATCTTTCAGAACTTGTTCTCCAACACACCAGTTTTCAGATCCATCATTTACAACAAACTGATGCACTGCGAGGACGATGAGGAATTTAAAGCTCAATGTCATGATGCAAGACTGAAACACTGTAAAGCGTGTGCTGCAGGAAAACTCAAATAAAAATAATGTTTGCAGAGATTATTTTTCAGCCATACAAACATCATACAAGGCTTCACATTTTTAAATCTCACAAAACAAAATTTGGTGCTCTCACCACAGGTTCGATTCCCAGTCAGTGAACTACTTCTAAAAGGCTCATCTGCTTCGTGGAGCCTTGAGCTGAAGCAATATTCTCCCCAACGCTTAAAGACATGGGCGGCTGTGGCTCAGGAGGTAGAGTGGGTCATCCACTAACCAGAGGGTCGGCTGCTTGAACCCTGATGGCTCTGCTGGCAGCGTGAGTGATGTGAGGTAGAGAAAGAAATTAGATGCACTGAGATTATGAGTGTGATCCTACAGTCGATCCTGCTTCCGTTTCCCTCTTGAGAGTCCTGCCACATATGTATAATTTAAAAAAGCAAAAATGTTTGTTTCACAGCTGTTTTCCAACTCAGACATGAAATGAGCCTCTTGTGGTGAATACGCATCAGAGATCTGCTTAGTTCACACATGTATCTGTTGTTGGGCAGGTCACACGAAAGAAGTTCGGTATTTTCTCCTGAACCTTGAGAACAGATGAGACTGATTGGAGGATTACAAAAAAGTTACAAGAACCAGATTTCAAAACAAGTTGCGTCAACACAATATGATTTGAACACATTAAACTCATTTAGGTGCTGAACTCAAAAGAATAAATTTGACCCAGCACCGTCCTCAACACGGAAAAACTGAACTGAAATACTGATAAACTCCGAACATCTCCCTCAAACACGTGGCTTCACAGGCACAGAACGGGAAAAACAACTTCCAGGAGCCTCAAATCCTACAAGCATTGACTCCGACAGGATTCTGTCCAACTTCCCTCCAGCAAATGCTCCATGAAATGACTCTAACACGCCCTGCTCTCCTCCGCTTAGCCCCACTTAGCCATGAAGCCCCCCTTCCTGGATTACATGCCTCCCGTAGACGGACACTGAGCCGTCTGAAGCTGGCAGGTTCCCAAGCCTCCGAGAGGATGAGCAGCTTGTCTCCGTGGTCTCCTGCAGGAACTCTGATCTGAAAGGAATGAAACATAAACGTGAGTCACATAAATGTTCTGGCTCTCAGTTGGAGGAAGGCCTAACCCGTCAACGGCGTGGGATTTCTTTAACCCGACAGGAAGCTACTGAGATTTACCACCAATCAGCTGCAGCCAGGGCTGATCTCAGAAGACGCTTTGAAAGTTGTCCTGGAAGTCCTGAATTTTTTCTACCTTTAATTCTGGTGGGAACCAGACAG